GTATACCTCTGCGCCTTGGGACAAAAGAGACCCTTGTCCCTAGTAGCTCATGAGCCCGTTTTTTGTGACCGAATGACAAGGCTAGCCAACAGCTTTGAAAGCTGGAGTATTTCTGGAGAACAGGTCTCATGTATGATGATAAGACTGATGAGGCACAACAGAGTTCGGTGAGAAATGTGATTCGTGGTGCAAAACCAGTGCAGACAACATTCGCATGAAATTCAGGACCGGAGAAATAGAACCGAAAAGAAGCTGACTGCATGGTGAAGATAAAAGACGGAAAAACAGTGAATTCATTGCGTATACATATGATGAAATACAATTGAAGGTTTACTCTCCAATCCAATACAAACTGAGTGGGCATCACTCAGATGGTAGGAACCATTTAGGAGGTAGGTGATTGCTGATGAATTGCATTCGTGTTTTGTCGGGCATTTTTGCCACTTTCCAAAAATCTCTCTCAAAAGCGAAAACCTTCCCGGAACGACTCAATCTGACCGGTTCTGATCCCGTTCACTCCCGAGGGGGGAGCGCAACATTAAATTCAACCCAAAAAGTAACACTTCTACGTCACGTGTTCTAATTTAGACCAAGATTACCAGTCAGTCACTCATGGATGGTTATACAAAGCAATTTAAGCTGTCCGCCATCACCACCGTCACTCCCGTCACTCGCAAGGATAGCAAAACTACAAATAGGTGATGTATGAAGGCAAACTCGGTCTGGTCCTGGACACAAGTTGAGAAGATCAAGGCATCAGATGACAAAATAAACTCAAGTCGTTTCGGAGATTAAAACAGTTAGGTATTAACATGTAATTGCTATACTAATATGAGCACAGAAAACCAACACGCTTCTGTAGTGCGCGCCCTATATCTATTTGGTCCACTCCCACAGGGACAGTTTCATTTGTGACCCGCTTACAGTCGAACCGTGGGAATGTGTTTCATTGGGCATGATTTGCACAAGCCCCACAACTCACACCTCACACATTGGGTCAGGTGCCACGTTGCGTATCTGACCGGCGCAACTCTGTGCGTACACCCGGTTTGACCATGGTAACGAGCCCTGTGTGCAACGTCATTTATCCAGGGGCTTTAGGCAAGCAGGAAGAAAGTCGTAGACTGAGTTGGAATCGCTACGATGCAGCATAAGTGTAGCACAAGTGGTTATGTAACAAACAATTTATGCCAGTTGGCAGTTGGCGACGATGTGGGCTCCTGATAAACGAAACACAGGCCCATTGTACTTCCTTTGTGTATGGTTGTCAACTGGATGAATTGAAAATATTGTGGAGTAGCAACGCAAATTCAAATGCATTAGTGATACAAGTGTAGCTTGGGCTAGAAAGGTCGGCAAAGGTGTGTGTGTTTGCGCGCGTGTGTGTGTGTTTGTGTGTGCGTGGATGTGTGTGTGTGTGTGTGTGTACTGTCGCATGCACAACGCTGTGAGTAAACAGTAAACTATAAATCGGACATCCGAGTGGGTGACAGCGTCAATGATCAAACGTAAATTAAGTTGGCCAATACAGAAGAGTCACCGTGGACGGAGCCATCACATATGTAGGTTGTTGATGACTGCTAGTCGGGAAAACGGATTTCCAGTTATTTGGGGCCGGGGGAGGGGGGTTGCAAACTGCCACCAAGTCTGATTGTGGCTTGATGTGATACTTGTTTTTTGACTTCGTTCGCATTCAGTCATTATATTGGTATTTTCTGAAGTGCTGTAAATTCATTATTACCAGTAAGCGACAATTATTGCCATTCTGACAAAATGTATTTATGCTCTGTGTTACATAATTACACACGAGAAAACAATAAAAATACACCGTAACTCATAGGATGTATAGTATATCTGCACAAAGGGTACAAATCAAAATGTGTCGCATAGCCTCAAGACACAACTGGGAGGGCTTTCTCTTGGATGAAATGAGGGGGGTGGGGTGGCCGTTCAACGAGGAAAATGTATGTGTTTGTGTGTTTGCCCGGAAGAGATGAAGCCAGACGGACAGGAAGAATCTCAATATGCGCTGCTGATGAGCCCTAATAGGAGCGAAACTCGAGTTTAGTGTTTGCGAGTGTATGGTTGAATCGATGAACTGAAGATTGTGCGCGAAGGCGAAGTTCGAAGGATAGTCAGTTAACATCGATCAATCTCAATAAATTCCAAATGATGTACATACATAGTTGTTGCACTTGTCACGACTGCACACAGCAAACTCCATCGGACACCTCACTCTCTTCACAGGTCTTTGTATCCTCTGTCTGTAACACCTTTCATGAATGTTTGTACTTTAAGTTTGCAATGCTGAGACGACCACAGGAAGACTGAAATATATATTTATCATCTGTGAAAAGAATTCGTTCCATTTTCTCAAATCAATACAATGCTGGAACCTCGTTTCGGTAATTTCCGCCTCACACGAATACAGTTATCTGATGTGACCAGTATCACAGATTCATTTTTATGTTGGAATGCGTGGCTGGGAAATAACGAATCATATGCTTCTATTGTGTCCGAGAGAGAGGTCAAACCACTACAATTCCAATGGTTTTTGTACCCATCCCGGCGAACTCACCCAAGCCGGCATGCAGGATATACTCTCGTTTCTTTGGTGTCCTCCAGTGTCGATCGATGATATTATCCGAATGCCGTTTGCTTCGGAAAACATTTTCCTTGCTTACCTTTAAATACATCTTTTAAGCATCTAAGTCTCACTCTACAAGCATTGCGTACAAAACCGAGGAAACTGTTTTATCAGCCGGTCCATACCAAACTACGAAAGACTCACCCCTACCCGGAACCGGTGAAATGTCTACACAAGAACCTTTCACTACCAGTTTATTCCTGTAGCTTTGTAAAACTTATCTTTTTATATGTTGATTTGAATGACTGTAAGAGGTGGTCTAGTTTGTTTGTCTTATTGACGGCCCCACAGTACATTGCACGGTGTCCCAGCTCCACAGGTCGGAAATCTCATG